GAATATGCTGAAATTCGCATGTTAATCATCTACGTTGTTTCCTTTTTCGTTGCGAAGTTGGAAGTAAGGAAGAATCGTAGTTCTCCGTCTGGTTTTTATGCGTTCGAGTAAGCTGTAGCGATGACCGAAATCGACCTAAGCTGTAGTTTAGGATGCTATTTTCAATTTCTGACCTCAGCTTTAGAACACTCCGGCATGATTTTTCATCAAATTTAAGTTGATTCTATTTAGTTGAAGTTAATATTAGGACAACCAGGAATCAATCTAACCTACGAGTTGAAGTTGTTTGACCCTAAACTGCCCGTTCAAGCCCATAATTTTTTGGTTTAGGTTGATCAGGTGTTAATGAATTTCTTCAACATCACCAGCCTCTCTTTCCTAGATCTGTTACTGTTTACAACTTAACACTCATCTTGTGATCTATCAGTGCAATCTTATGTGAGTGGATATGGTTCATTTCTTTTACATACTATAGATGTTCTCCATGCTATATGAGCATTTTGTATCTTCTCATCGTATACATTGAAAAGTTATATCTTGTTAAAGCAAAAAAAAAAAAAAAAAAAAAAAAAAAAAAAAAAAAAAAAAAAAAAAAAAAAAAAAAAAAAAAAAAAAAAAAAAAANAAAAAAAAAAAAAGAAAGAAGAAGAAGAAGAAGAAGAAAATATCTTCTCCATGTTATAGAACAAATAATATGATTTTTCTCTAATTCTTTTTCCATTTTTCAATTTCATTGTACCTTTCCCCCTATTTTATGCATTTTAAAACAAAACAAAAAAAAAAATGATATTGGTTTTCCCTTGATGTATGCATCTACTAGCTTTTCTGATTATAACTCAAAATAACAGGATTGGTAAGGAATATAGCAGTGCTGCTCTTTTTTGGGTTTTTAGCCTGGGGTTATCAGGCAATCCGGCCTCCTGCACCCAAAATATGTGGCTCCCCCGATGGCCCTCCTATCACAGCATCAAGAATAAAGCTTAGAGATGGTAGGTATTTGGCATATAAGGAGCATGGGGTTCCAAAAGATTCAGCTAAATACAAAATTATCTTTGTCCATGGCTTCCGTTCTTGCAGACACGATGCCAGTGTTGCAAATACCATCTCTCCGGTATCATTTATACCTCACCTTCTAATGTTTATCCATTTGCTCTGGAAAGACATCTAAACACTCAAATGAGACCAGTCTAAAGGTGAATCTCTACTGAACTATTTGCAGGACGTAATTGAAAATTTAGGAATCTACATTGTATCATTTGACAGATCTGGCTATGGAGAAAGCGATCCAAATCCAAATCGAACTCCAAAAAGCACTGCTTATGATATCGAGGAGCTAGCTGATCAATTGGGGCTAGGATCCAAATTCTATGTTATTGGATTTTCCATGGGTGGCCAGGTAGTTTGGAGCTGTCTAAAATATATTCCTAACAGGTATGAAGCCACACCTGAAAACAAATGTCAAGAATTCTTTCCTACAAGAAAACGAGAAGAACTTCAGGAAGGAATTAACATTGAATATTCCATTGCCTCATTTTTATGTAAAAGAATATGGAGAACAAGGAAAGTGATTTATCTATTTGTGTTTCTTCTTGTATGATAAGGACTTAATTTTTTTTAAATATTAACAGGCTAGCAGGGGCAGCGCTATTGGCACCAGCTATTAACTACTGGTGGTCTGGGCTCCCTGCAAACTTAACGAATGAAGCCTTCTACCAACAGTCTGGACAGGATCAGTGGGCAGTTCGTGTGGCTCACTACACCCCCTGGCTTACCTATTGGTGGAATACACAAAGATGGTTTCCTTCTTCTAGTATTATTGCAGCTAGTTCCGGTAATCTGTCTCATCAAGACAAAGAACTCGAGTCCAAGCTAGTGGGAAGGAAAGAATGTCAGGTATGTGACCTTTCTTTATGAAATTTTGCTAGCTACTTTTCTGATCTTATCTTTAAATGCTGACTGTATGATAGAAATTGTGCTAAATGTGACTGTCAAATTAAAGGTTTCATTCCAGTAAGTGATTTATTGGCCAAATTTGTTAGGCTAGATGAGAGTAAACATGGAAAAATCAACAGCATACCCTCAAGTGCTGGTTTGGTTAAGTCAGAAATCTGCCATAAACAATATTGAATTAGCAAAGGAGAGAAATTGTAGTTACCGTTGTGCAAGGAGTGTGGATAAGGGTAGGTAAGGATAGTAACTGTCTCTTGTATAAACTGTTAAAGGTTTTGGACCAATTGGAATATATGGTAGGGGTGGGTAATGTATTAACTAAGAGGTTTGGCAGCTTGTGGAGAGTATGAAGCCTTTTCCAAGCATTTGCGAGCGTATTTGTTTTGGTCTATTTCCCTATTTGTTTTGGTCTATTTTCAAATGATGTTAGTAATCACAACCCTCCATAATGATATGATATTGTCTACTTTGAGCCTAAGCTCTGCTTTGGGCTTCCCCAAACCACCTCGTATCAATGGAGATGTATTCCTTACTTATAAACCTATAATCATTCGGATTTTGCTTTGGGCTTCTCCAAACCACCTCGTATCAATGGAGATGTATTCCTTACTTATAAACCTATAATCATTCGGATTTTGCTTTGGGCTTCCCCAAACCACCTCGTATCAATGGAGATGTATTCCTTACTTATAAACCTATAATCATTCGTGGGACTCCCCCCAACCATACCCTAACAGATGGAAAATCAAAATACATTTGAGAGCTCTGGGGGACTTATTTAACATTAAACAAGTAAAGGAGAAACCAATCTAGTAGTTATGATCCGGGGAGGAAATAGCTGAACTTTGAAAAACAAATGGTCACATTATAATCAGCTGTTTTCTTAGAAAACACACTGATAAATATTTGTTTTCTGTTGATGGGATGAAATCTTTCAGCCTATATTTAGCCAACAAGGAGAACACGAGTCCATCCACAGGGACGTGAACGTTGGATTTGGGAGGTGGGAATTCAGTCCCCTGGATCTGGAAAACCCATTCCCAGGGAATGAAGGTTCAGTTCATTTATGGCAGGGAGATGAAGACAAGATCGTGCCTGTCGCTCTCCAACGTCACATTGCCAAACAGCTTCCATGGATTCATTATCACGAGGTACCAGGTGCTGGGCATAGATTTCCCAATGCTGATGGCATGTCTGAATCCATCATCAAAGCCCTTCTTCTCAACGAGAAGTAGGCTTTTATTTATTACATCTTCTTCTGGGTTGGGTTGGTGGTCCTTCAGTACTCCATTTTTTTTGTCTCTCTCGTCCTTTGGTACATTATATTTATAGCGGTCCTCATTTGGCTGTATGGAGCTCTACTTTTTGCTTGGAGGACAATGGATACTTTTACCATGCTCTCTCTTATTGATCTTTGAAATTGAGGGTTGAAAGTGTCATTCCATCCTTTTTGTTATCGATTCAGTGTCCCGAGTGAAATTATATACACAATCTGATAATGTTTGATTGTATACCAAATGTCACAATCGCGTTTTTTCAGGACGTTTGTAGCGACTATGTAACACTCACTCAAATGATCGAGTGAGTCAACCAACTCGAAATTGTGGAAAGTATTAAATTAAAATGTTGTCTAATTCTTTTAATCTTTTAATGTTGTATTTAATAAATAATTAGATATTTGCGAATTTATTTAAAAAAGTCTAAATTGTAATTTTCAGGAAAAAATACCAAAAAAAAAAAAAAAAAAAAAAAGAAGAAAGAAGAAAGAAGAAAGAAAAACAAAAAGCCAACTAAAAAGTAGCACGTGCCTAGGGCTCAGCTATGGCACTACTTGCATGTGACGATATCGCCATCCGAAGTACCCTCTAAGCCACATTTCCTCTACGTCATCACAGTCTCAAAACTGCTAAAATTCCCCACTTTTCACCGATCAAATAAGACGACAGCCTAACGTGGAGGACGCTTATCGGATGCTACATCCTCTTTGTGTGAGCCAGCTGCACCGAATCTTCACCCATCTTAAAGCCATGGTCATACGTGTTCGACTAGGAGAGTCCAGACAGGATCAAAAGAGTTAAACCATGCCACGTGTCTTGCACGTGTCAATGACTCTCGTAGATAGGTTTAGAGAGAAAAGAAAAAAGGGGATACTCTCCTTCAAATACTTGATAAGAAAAAGAATACATTTTTTTTTAAAAATCTTTTTAACAGAATTTATTAATAAAATATCTATAATTTCTGACTTCGAGGAATTTAGGTAGTGTGGGCTCCACTTCTATCTCTCTTTTTCTCTCATCTCTTCCTGCATAATGTCAGCAAAAGGCTTAGGGTAATTGTAAAAACGAGTCCCCAAAACTTTCGTTTTTTACAGAAAAGGTCCCATTTCAAAAATATTTGTATTTTTGGACTTTTTCACGAAGATTGTGATGTAAAACATTGAATAACATGAATGTGAAATTACGACCCTTTCCATTCCATAGATTCTATTTAATTCTTAACATTTTTTTCACTAATTTTTTTTTTTTATATAATATATTTTACCCTACCAACCATTAACTTTCACTACACTCAACCACAAAACTCTATAAAATTCACCAGAAAAATATATATATATATATCAAAATTATAAATTTATGAAAATTATTCGAGTTTCTAAGCCGAAAAAAATATAAAAAATTCGAATAAATACACCAATTTAAAATTTATATTTAATTTAAATATTGAAACGTTATTTAGTAACATAAAATATGACAAAGGTAAATAATGGGAAGATAGAATTATCTTAAACAAAATTGAAGTCAACTAAACTTGAGATCAAATCGTAAAGTATATACCAAAAAAATGTATGTAACTTAATTTCAACTTTGTCTTTGATATTTTAAAATTATTAATTGCGGCGAAAATTTATTTGGGAGGGTTATTTATTTATTATTTATATAAATTGAAATAAAAAAAATAAAAAATAAAAAGCAAAATTGCTGTATAATTTCAATTTACAATATATAAATGGACCCCATTTCAGCGAAAAGACCGCAGTTTAATCTCGTTTCGTGCTCTGTTCCCTCTCTTCTTCAAGCTTCGTATTTTTGCTTCAGAGTACCAGAGATTCAGAGCTTGGGAAAGCTTCATTAATGGCGGCTTTTGTTAGGTTGAAAGCTACGATTTTGATGTTTTAAACTCTCAAGGCTTTCAGAAGTCTCCATTTCTCTTCATCTTCTCTCAATCTCTCTGGTACCCTTCAATGGCTGTTTTGATTCCGCCATTAGAGCTCTACTGCTTTAAATACAGTTCTTTTGCTCTGCCATTTTTATGCCCATTTGAAAATCAATACAAATAAAAAGGATGAATTATTTGCTGCTTCTAATGTGGTTTTTGATGAAAATCAATACAAATAACTTCAAGTTGTTTTGATTCCCTTGTGCTTTGATTGTAATTTTCCATTTATGGTACTTATTAATTCCTTATAATTTACCTTTATTATTATTATTATTATTATTATTATTATGAGTGGGATCTGATGTGGAATAAACCTTCTTCAAAGAAAAACACACTTTTGGTCTTGTCAAGTACATATTTGCCATAAAACTTGAAGATGGTTTTGATTACATCTTAAAAGTCGATGATTATAGTATTCGAGTAGCAATGAAGATTAAAGTTTATTTTAAATTCCAAGAAGATTGATACTGTTCTTCTCCCGTTGTTAATGAAGTCTTATATTGTTTTATTTTCTTTGGCCTCCATTGATGCGGCAGCTTCAAGCTCGTCGCTGATCTTAATAGACACCAGCAGAGGAAAACATGGTGTTAAAAGAATCAGAAATGATGTCACATGATGAAGTTGAATCGACATTGCAGTCGGAGCAGCAGCTCAAGCCCCATGGATTCTCTTCCCTTGGAAGGCAGTCCTCCATTTATTCGCTTACACTGGACGAGTTCCAGCATACTCTCTGTGAGAGTGGCAAGAACTTCGGCTCCATGAACATGGATGAGTTCCTCACCAGCATTTGGACGGCGGAGGAAAACCAAGCATTCAATGCCAGCCAGTCGGCGACGTCTGCGGTTGCGGCATTGAGCAACGCTCAGGCTCACTTGCCGGTGAGCGGAGTGGAGAAACACAACATGGAGAAGCAAGCAAGCCTACCTCGGCAAGGTTCACTAACACTTCCGGCACCCTTGTGCCGGAAGACAGTGGATGAGGTTTGGTCTGAGATTCACAAGAGCCAGCAGGGGCAGAGTCAAAATAGCAGCAGTGGTGGTAATGCCAACAATCAGAATCCAGAATCTGCCACGCGCCAACCAACGTTTGGGGAAATGACATTGGAGGATTTTCTGATCAAAGCTGGGGTTGTTCAAGAACAACCATGTGGCCGGGCAGGAGTGTTGCAGCAATTGCCACCACCTCAGCAGTATGGTATGTACCAGAATAGCAACCACACCATTGGTGCTGGTTATGTTCCCAGGCCTATTATGGGACTCAGTACATCTGCAGCTGGTGGTGGTGCTAGCGGTACTGCCGGTGCCGGTGGCATTACGACATACCAGCCGGTCCCCCAAGGTGGTTCTACCATTGGCGATACCTCAGGATATGCAGGCAATGGTAAAAGAAACAGTGTGTACCCATCACAGCCTCCACCTGCAGTTTGCTATGGTGGAAGAGTGGTGAACAGTGGAGGGGGTGGGGGTGGGGTAGGAGGATATTCACCGGCTCAACCGATGGGGATGGCGCCTGTAAGTCCGGTTTCCCCCGATGGAATGTGCGCCAATCAGGTGGATAGCTCAAATCAATTTGGGTTGGACATGGGTGGGTTAAGAGGTAGGAAGAGAATAATTGATGGGCCAGTTGAAAAAGTTGTAGAAAGGAGGCAGAGAAGGATGATAAAGAATAGGGAGTCAGCTGCAAGGTCCAGAGCTAGGAAACAGGTGCACTTTTCTTTTCCTAGTGTCATTTTCTTTCAATAAAATGACAAGCTGAAGTAGCTAATATGCATTTTCTTCCCTACTTCGAAAATAGGCATACACAGTAGAGTTAGAAGCAGAGTTGAACCAGTTAAGAGAGGAAAATGCACATCTTAAGCAGGCCTTGGTAAGTATCATGTGAAAACGTTTGATATATCAAATAGAAATTGCCTACTACTGTAATTCTAACCAGATATTCTGTCCCTTTTGTTTTGGAATATAAATAGGCCGAGTTAGAGAGGAAGAGAAAGCAACAGGTACCTTGTTTTACAATCCATCTGATATGTTCAATAGCAGGATAGAATTGCATGCCATTTCCATCAGATATGAAAAGTATAAATTTTATTTTCTTGAATATCCTTCTTTAGAGCTCAAGAACACAGTAAAGTCGTTTCTTCAACATCTTTCTAAATCCAAGAGTTTGACCTGATAGCCTCTCTATGATCACCATCTATGTCTTTGCAAATCATGGTTTGAGCTACATCTAGCAATTGATCTTAGCCTTCATTTTTGCAGTACTTAGAGGAAACAAAGATTGTTCAAACCAAAGCACAGAGGGCCAAGGAAAAGCTTTGTGTTATGAGGAGAACATCGAGTTGCCCATTGTAAAAGAAAATCCTCTTAAGTTCCATCCATGGAAAAGGCAAAACACGAAACACACTCAAGTAGTTAGCAGGAAACCGGAAAAACCTCGGTGCATGCAGGACTTCGAGAATTTGGCATGAACCAACCAGCATGTCCAGCAGGAAATTGGGCTTGCTTGTCTTTCTGTTCTTCAGATGACTCGAATCTTGCACGGGTGAATGGCCTGGTACCAAGGTTTTTCGTTTCTTACGAGTTTGTCAAGGTGTTGTTATGTAGTAGATAGGCATAATTTGCACAAAATCTGATAAAATCTTCAGGTCTTTGTTAGCTATAAAAGATTAAAATGGAGAGAGAATCGGCATAGTGGTATCATATTTAATCGGGCTTGTTTCAAATTCAGATTTGTTCATCAAATCGATGCTCTCAACCGGTGTTAATCTACTTCAATGTCTTATCTATATGGGTACAATTTTCAAAACCTCAAAAGTCGATCAAACCCAAATAAAATTTCATCTCCACTAGAGATTCTTCTCCTGTAACCCAGGTGCAGAAAAGAGGGGCGGGAAACAACAACCACGCTTGGCTTTGGCGTATCCATGACACCAAACTCGACACATGTACAGCACGCAAATTACCGAAAGGAATGTTATTAGACTACTGTTTGCCAATTTGTTATAAATAGATGAAGTAAGAAAGAGGGGGAGAGAATTGTTTTGGTGAATGAATTAACGCATGTATTTTGAAACTTGTAAGCTCATCTTTATATTTCAATACAGTTCGGTTCTAGTTTGGATAATTGATACTATCAATTACCAAGAAGTAGAAAAGAAAAGGGTTACCTGTACGCTAGGAAGATGGCGGATTTGACTTTTTCAGAGGTCTTTGGTCCAATAGCGCAGAATGAATGACAGCCAGGGACCATAATTCGTGCAGAAAGGCAACAATAAGAAGACTCTCGTGGTTAGTAAGGGGATCATAATATCATGCAGCAAGACTATGTCTTCAGGAGCCTCAGGCGGCAAGCAGAACGTTGATTTAGTGGCGAATGCATATTTAGTTGCCTAAATGCTATGCAAAGACGAACCCGACCTGAATACGCTGATGGTTTCTCATAAGTTCGACGAAAGACGTGGCAAAACACGATAGGGTGTGGCATTCCATATTGGTCATGGCTCCTGATACAAACCCAAAGATTGTCAATTTCTTCAACTTTGGACATATTTTAACAAGTTTCGCCACCCATTCAGAGAAAAAAACATTATTTTCCTTCCATCCAACTTCTAATATGGTCACATTCTCCATCTGAAAAGATCTCCGCAAGTTATGATGAAAGGCTCTACGTCTTAGATCCCAACTTATAGATAAATGGCCTAACTGGGGAAAATTGGTGGAAATTGAGCCCAAATCCACAACTTCTTCATCACTATCATAAATTCTTACATTCCACAGCCGAAGCCTCGTCAACATTGATGCCTTTGAGAGCAGATGATAGAATCCCTTGCCACACAATTGCAGTACCGCTGAGATCCACTAGTTCAAGATTTTCAGTGTTATCTCCAATACCCAGTTCGAAAGCCGTAAACTCCTCGAGCTTCAGAACTCTCAGAGTTCCTTTGCCAATTAGCTGAAATACTTCAGGATTACAATCTTTTAAATGTAAAATTTCAAGGGTATCAGCCTCTAGCGTGATATCCTCTTTACCGACATCTTCAACGAAGATATTCTTCAATGAAGAACTTCTAATTTCCATTGCTGTAGTCTCATCTGTCCCCGTAAATTCTGGGTGAACTACAGATAACCTTTCAAGCTTTGGTCAAGCAGAGATAAGAAGGTTTAGATCTGGCATAGAAATGATGACATAACAGAGTGATAGATAATTCAAACAAGAGAACTTATGATAAGCCGGTTCAATATGACCTATCGGATTATTAGCCAATGCCAACGCTTCTAGTTTGTGTCGACCACACTTCTCAATTATATTGATGCTTGGAACAGTGTTGACATTATACTGCAGTCGAAAGATTGTGTTTCTCGAATGCATGAGCCAAGCAGTCACTGAGGAGGCCGAGAATGCTTCTACTTCATCCATAAAAATGTATAAGTTCTCAAGTCCAGTGGTCTGAAGTATCATTTGTGTTATTATAACTTCCAAGCTCCTCGTCGAAAGGCTTTTAGAACCTGGACAATCATCCGAGTGGAAGCTCAAAGTATGGAGGTGATTCCGCACAGCCTCTCTCCATTTCTTACAAGTTGTCGAAGCGATCGCCACATCTTGGACAGATGGTAGAAGAGAGAGTATTTTTCCAATAATCTCAACTGGAAGGTCTTCCATGTCTAATTAGACGAGTAGAAAATGAAGACCATGTAAGCCTGATGTTGCGCCAATTTAGGGAAGATCGTGAACTCGGAGAGCTTGCCGAATAGAAACTGGTCCATGATCAACAAGAAAGTTAAAAACAAATCGAAACCTGAATTCTTCAATAGGAAAATCACCAATAGAACCAGATTCATAGAAACAATACAGAAAAGCAAAATGAGTTATCAACACGGCTCACAGAATGAACCAAATTTAGCACTGGAGTACTGCGAAAAATATTTAAAATACGACAGTTCAAGATTCAAGTACCACGTCAAATAACATCAGAAAAGAAGCAAAAGATACCAAAAATGGTCGATTCTAACTCTTTAATGACTAACTCTAAACTCCATTTTCCGAAACAAGATCAGCGAAGAGCAAAAATCTGCATAGCTTACCTCAATGCTCGAATACGTATTATCTTGAAGAGAATTTGAAAGCCTTTGTTCGATGAATCAATCTCACAACACAAAGTACGAGAGGAATCTCCAAGAAAGATGACAAAAGCCACAGCCACAGGAAACTGTCGTGTAGAATTCGTTAGAGCCGAGTCAAGAGGGAGTTTGGACTTAAAAAAGGAGACGAAAATTGGAATTTCAGATTTTGGATAGTCTTTATTAAAATAATTTGGATATCCAAATTTACTCCCAATTATCAAATTTAATACAAATTAAGTTTAATTAATTCATAAATTTAACCAACAAAAATTTGTAATGTAATTTGAATATTTTTAATTATTTTTTAAGTATATAACAAACATGAATATTTTTTTTACTATCCTATTTATTTTTTTAGGTGTCCAACCCTCCAAAAAAATATTTAATAGTTTCCCGAACTTTCAATTTTATATTTATAATTTTTTTAATTTTTAAGTATGGTAGAATGCAAAAAAAATTAAAACATATCTGCGATTTATTGATGGTTAAATTTAAAGATGAGGAATCGATAAGATTTAAGGACTAAATAAATATAAAGTTTAAGGACTAAATTTGTAATTTAATCATTTTAATGCTTATTTTAGTTTCTTTAAACTTTAAAATAATAAATATATTATTCTTTTCAATTTAATATTTAATTGTGAGATGTTTATATTAACGCTAGTTTGTTAAAAATAAAATAATAATATAAGGTCTAAAATAGTTATTTTTGTAAATTTGAGGACTAAAATAGAGATTTAGATAAAAATGAGGTACCAAAATGAAATTTGTAAAGATTGTGTTGACTAATTTACTGGAACGGGGAGCTCGTAAATGGGCCTTCAAATTTGGAGCCCAAATGTGAGTTGCGATCTCTTGGCTGATATGACGCTTTCTTCAATCCGTTTCTGCTTTTTTGGCACTGACCCGCACATCGCCTTCCTCCAAAAAGCCAGCGTTCAACTCCACCTTCTTCTTCTTCTTCTTCACATGATTTTTGTTATTTTTCTGAGGATTTTTCTCATAATGGCGCGAAGAATCTAAGCTACCAACACGCCCTCACTCCGCCCACCATTTCCATTTCAGGCTCCAAGTACAACTCAAATGCTACACATTCTGCACTTTTCTCCGGTATTTTCAATATTGAATTCAGTTGCATTTCTCAATTTCTTGCATTCTTTCATTGTCAAGGAGATTCGTGTTATATCATGATGAATGAGGCGCTCATGTTGGTTTGATTCCATTTTCCTTACGTTTCAAACTCGCTTGGAGGTTTCCGTGACTGAATTCCAGTGGCTTGGTGTTTCTCTTGATTTTTTTTTTTTTTTTTTTTTTTGGTGTTCATGATTTATCTTTTTCAGCTGTAGGCACAATTTAAATCGTTTTTTCTCCTATATTCGCTATATTGTACGATACAAAGGACTGTTATATTTTATTCTATGCTTGTCAAGCCAAAATAGATTATCCCAATGGTTAAATAGTTCTCAATTGACTATTTGGCTTTGTGAATAGGCGTTGAAAGAGAGGTTTGCGTTGGATTCGAGATTTTGAACCGTTAAGAAGTTATTCTGAACAGTCGACTTTAGAATTTACATTGACAATTTTGTGATGGCAAGTTGCTCGTGGATACATTTTGCTCTTTCTGATGGTCGAAACCCAGTTGGCGTACTGAATGTTCTTGGAGGAAGAGTATCAATGTCAAATCATAATTCCTCAGGAAGATTTGGCTGCGTTAAAATGCATGAAGAAGGGAATGGATTTGTGGGTGTTGGCCAAAAGTTAGCTCTGCGTAAATTCAAATGTGCTTCCAATTCTCACAGTGTCGGTTCATATCCAAATAGAGACCCTTTTCTTGAACTACACCCTGAAATTTCAATGCTTAGAGGAGATGGGAGCAATATGTTGAGTAACCCAAGACAGGATAGTTTAATTGAAAGTAACACTGAGAGTTTGGGAGACACAATCAGTCCAAGTAATTATGGTGAAGCAAAGATTAAAGTCGTTGGTGTTGGAGGTGGTGGGTCAAATGCAGTCAATCGTATGATAGAGAGTTCAATGAAAGGAGTGGAGTTCTGGGTTGTCAACACGGATGTTCAAGCTTTGAGAATGTCCCCTGTGCAATATGAGAACCGTCTTCAAATTGGTCGGGAACTTACAAGGGGTCTCGGAGCTGGTGGGAACCCGGACGTTGGAATGAGTGCTGCCAATGAGAGCAAGGAAGCTATTGAAGGGGCACTTTATGGAGCAGACATGGTTTTTGTCACTGTAAGTTCACGTTTACATGGCTATTTAACTCCCAATAGAATACTTTTGAGGGTTGATCGCCCATCATGGGTGTTCGTGCCAGTATGAACAGCATTGTTTTTCAATGAACTTATCTCAACTGAAATGATACATTTTACTGATAATTGAAGCATCTCAGTGGAAATAATGTTATATTTGATCCAGAAAACTCGTGGTTTTCCAGGTCTTTTTGTTCATAATGCACTACTTTTCAATGAATCTTGATGAGAATGGCATGCGATGGATGTAGGGAAAAGCTTTTTGATGTTTATCCCCAAAACAACCATCCATTATTATGTTTTTGGAGTATTTATGTCTAGCCTCGACTTATCCTCGTATTTTTCTGATTGGAGGAGACT